AATCACAATTAAAGCTTAACATTATCTGATGTGCAAAAGATTACTGTGCCTCATTAATCTACTTAAAAGGCTTTATGGGAGTCCAACACTTTTAGAATTAGTTTATTATGATGAACACGTCCCCCCCCCCCCGAGACTCAATTTTTTTTTTCTGGTGTGTATTCCATTCAGGCAGCCTGGGGAGGGGGTGCATTCCTGTCACGTGATCATAGGTATTTATTTACAGGTGCTCACAGGTAAGGAACCAAAAGTGTTGTATCCTTTTCTTTATAATGATTTAATCATGTTTGTCAAATTTAAGTATTTAAGTTTGTATCGTACAACTCACATCTAACAAGTACTACATACACACTGTATACTTAAAGACAGGGCCGGCCTTAGGCCACTGCAACCTATGCGGCCGCAGTGGGCCCCGCACTTTCATAGGCCCCGCGCTTATTAAATAAAATGCAAAGACGAATTTATTTTCTAATACAAAATCTTAATTTTCACTTATTATCCTTATCCCTACCCAGACTGGGCCCCGCGCAATCCGTTTCTCATAGGGCCCCGCAGTTGTTAGGGCCGGCCCTGCTTAAAGATAGGCTAAAATTAACAAATACATTTAGGCTAATATATACACACATTACACACACAGTAAGACAATCAGAGATTAACAATGTTCTCGGTTTTATCCCCAAAAGAGCCGACTCCATCACTTGGAATCCTCACAAGATGATGGGCGCCCCACTCCAGTGCTCAGCGTTCATCACTAAACACAAAGTAAGGCAGCATTTCATTTTTATGTAAGTAAAAGTGATTTTTTTTTTTTTACAAAACGACTAGACTATCAGTTCATAATCAAATGTACATGTATGGACATCTGAGAGAAGACATATACCATAATCATAAAAACACATCTCATTCTTTCTGATTGCCTCTCCTACCCCCTTTCCCCCAACACACAAATGATTCACAGGGTCTGTTAAAGAACTGTAACGGCATGGGCGCCACCTACCTGTTCCAGAAAGACAAAGTCTACGACACGTCCTACGACACCGGGGACATGAGCATACAGTGTGGCAGGAACAACGACATCTTCAAGCTGTGGTTGATGTGGAGGGCAAAGGTCAGGCCACCAATCTTCTTTAAAATTTACCTGTTTAGGAAAAAATGGTTTATAATAACTTATTATTTAAAGTACTCAGTGGTGTCGCCAAGTATTTGATTGGTTACTATCTTGACATGACTCGGTCATTTCATTGATCTGACCTCCAGGTCTTCCATACATGTTCATTCTTGTTTGTCAGTTAACGTCCCTTACCTGTCCTCCCCCACCTTACCTCCCTCAACTTACCTCTTACCTATCTTCAATCACCTTACCGCCCTCAACTTACCTCTTACCTATCCTCCCCCACCTTACCTCCCTCAACTTACCTCTTACCTATCCTCAATCACCTTACCTCCCTCAACTTACTTCTTACCTATCCTCAATCACCTTACCTCCCTCAACTGACCTCTTACCTATCCTCAATCACCTTACCTCCCTCAACTTACCTCTTACCTATCCTCAATCACCTTACCTCCCTCAACTTACCTCTTACCTATCCTCAATCACCTTACCTCCCTCAACTTACCTCTTACCTATCCTCAATCACCTTACCTCCCTCAACTTACCTCTGACCTATCCTCAATCACCTTACCTCCCTCCCCTTACCTCCATCATATTACCACCCCTCACTTTACCTCCCAACCTTACATACCTCACCTTACCTTCCTCACCTTACCTACAGTACCTTACCTATCTAGCCTTATTTTCCTCACCTTACCTACAGTACCTTACCTATCTAGCCTTATTTTCCTCACCTTACCTCCCTCAGCATACCTCTAACCTCTTATCTTTAGAACCTTTACTATTCCATTAATCCACAAACAAAACTAATACATATAAAAAAACATACTGTTTTTAATAGATATTTTTCATTGTTTTTTTTTTTACATTCGTTTTTTTTAAAAATAAAATAAAATACTTTACCACTAACTAACTTGTCCACTACCATTAATTTCACGTACTAGGGCGATATCGGATTTGAAGAGCAGGTCAAAAAGAACTTTCAACTGGCAGCGTAAGTTTCATTTATTACTCATACCTGTCGTGTTCCATCTCTAAACTTTTGTGGTTAACAAGCAGGTAACCTACGTGTTGTGTCACCTGTCAACATCCATGGTCCCTAGTTTCACTTGCTATCACCATAGGCCAGAGTTTCCCCGTGTATGTTCAATATAAAAGCAGTATTGTATGTAATATCACATGGTAACATAAGTTATTTTCTAGGCCAAACAGACTCCATCAGTTAGTTAACGTTTCATTTTATCCTTTAGTGTCTTCTCATGACAGAATAATTCCATTTAGTGTCGTCTAATGACAGAATAATTCCATATAGTGTCGTCTCATGACAGAATTATAACACGTAGTTTCATCTCATGACAGAACTATACCACATAGTGTCATCTCATGACAGAACTTTATACCACATAGTGTCATATCATGACATAATTATACCCCATAGTGTCATCTCATGAGATGACACTATGGGGTATAATTATGTCATGATATGACACTATGTGGTATAAAGTTCTGTCATGAGATGACACTATGTGGTATAGTTCTGTCATGAGATGAAACTACGTGTTATAATTCTGTCATGAGACGACACTATATGGAATTATTCTGTCATTAGACGACACTAAATGGAATTATTCTGTCATGAGAAGACACTAAAGGATAAAATGAAACGTTAACTAACTGATGGAGTCTGTTTGGCCTAGAAAATAACTTATGTTACCATGTGATATTACATACAATACTGCTTTTATATTGAACATACACGGGGAAACTCTGGCCTATGGTGATAGCAAGTGAAACTAGGGACCATGGATGTTGACAGGTGACACAACACGTAGGTTACCTGCTTGTTAACCACAAAAGTTTAGAGATGGAACACGACAGGTATGAGTAATAAATGAAACTTACGCTGCCAGTTGAAAGTTCTTTTTGACCTGCTCTTCAAATCCGATATCGCCCTAGTACGTGAAATTAATGGTAGTGGACAAGTTAGTTAGTGGTAAAGTATTTTATTTTATTTTTAAAAAAAACGAATGTAAAAAAAAAAACAATGAAAAATATCTATTAAAAACAGTATGTTTTTTTATATGTATTAGTTTTGTTTGTGGATTAATGGAATAGTAAAGGTTCTAAAGATAAGAGGTTAGAGGTATGCTGAGGGAGGTAAGGTGAGGAAAATAAGGCTAGATAGGTAAGGTACTGTAGGTAAGGTGAGGAAAATAAGGCTAGATAGGTAAGGTACTGTAGGTAAGGTGAGGAAGGTAAGGTGAGGTATGTAAGGTTGGGAGGTAAAGTGAGGGGTGGTAATATGATGGAGGTAAGGGGAGGGAGGTAAGGTGATTGAGGATAGGTCAGAGGTAAGTTGAGGGAGGTAAGGTGATTGAGGATAGGTAAGAGGTAAGTTGAGGGAGGTAAGGTGATTGAGGATAGGTAAGAGGTAAGTTGAGGGAGGTAAGGTGATTGAGGATAGGTAAGAGGTAAGTTGAGGGAGGTAAGGTGATTGAGGATAGGTAAGAGGTCAGTTGAGGGAGGTAAGGTGATTGAGGATAGGTAAGAAGTAAGTTGAGGGAGGTAAGGTGATTGAGGATAGGTAAGAGGTAAGTTGAGGGAGGTAAGGTGGGGGAGGATAGGTAAGAGGTAAGTTGAGGGCGGTAAGGTGATTGAAGATAGGTAAGAGGTAAGTTGAGGGAGGTAAGGTGGGGGAGGACAGGTAAGGGACGTTAACTGACAAACAAGAATGAACATGTATGGAAGACCTGGAGGTCAGATCAATGAAATGACCGAGTCATGTCAAGATAGTAACCAATCAAATACTTGGCGACACCACTGAGTACTTTAAATAATAAGTTATTATAAACCATTTTTTCCTAAACAGGTAAATTTTAAAGAAGATTGGTGGCCTGACCTTTGCCCTCCACATCAACCACAGCTTGAAGATGTCGTTGTTCCTGCCACACTGTATGCTCATGTCCCCGGTGTCGTAGGACGTGTCGTAGACTTTGTCTTTCTGGAACAGGTAGGTGGCGCCCATGCCGTTACAGTTCTTTAACAGACCCTGTGAATCATTTGTGTGTTGGGGGAAAGGGGGTAGGAGAGGCAATCAGAAAGAATGAGATGTGTTTTTATGATTATGGTATATGTCTTCTCTCAGATGTCCATACATGTACATTTGATTATGAACTGATAGTCTAGTCGTTTTGTAAAAAAAAAAAAATCACTTTTACTTACATAAAAATGAAATGCTGCCTTACTTTGTGTTTAGTGATGAACGCTGAGCACTGGAGTGGGGCGCCCATCATCTTGTGAGGATTCCAAGTGATGGAGTCGGCTCTTTTGGGGATAAAACCGAGAACATTGTTAATCTCTGATTGTCTTACTGTGTGTGTAATGTGTGTATATATTAGCCTAAATGTATTTGTTAATTTTAGCCTATCTTTAAGCAGGGCCGGCCCTAACAACTGCGGGGCCCTATGAGAAACGGATTGCGCGGGGCCCAGTCTGGGTAGGGATAAGGATAATAAGTGAAAATTAAGATTTTGTATTAGAAAATAAATTCGTCTTTGCATTTTATTTAATAAGCGCGGGGCCTATGAAAGTGCGGGGCCCACTGCGGCCGCATAGGTTGCAGTGGCCTAAGGCCGGCCCTGTCTTTAAGTATACAGTGTGTATGTAGTACTTGTTAGATGTGAGTTGTACGATACAAACTTAAATACTTAAATTTGACAAACATGATTAAATCATTATAAAGAAAAGGATACAACACTTTTGGTTCCTTACCTGTGAGCACCTGTAAATAAATACCTATGATCACGTGACAGGAATGCACCCCCTCCCCAGGCTGCCTGAATGGAATACACACCAGAAAAAAAAAATTGAGTCTCGGGGGGGGGGGGACGTGTTCATCATAATAAACTAATTCTAAAAGTGTTGGACTCCCATAAAGCCTTTTAAGTAGATTAATGAGGCACAGTAATCTTTTGCACATCAGATAATGTTAAGCTTTAATTGTGATT